AAGTGTCGGGACCGGTGCTGGGGAGAGCGGGGCTGGACGGAGCATCCCGACGCCTGTGCCTGCTCAGCTCCGACTCGTCATGCAGGAGCACAGGGACGATGAGCGTGAGCTAAAGGGGCTTTAACTGTCTCTGCACCCCCTTGCTCACAGCCCCTCTGCTCCCCATGGCTGCGCGGGCTGGGGGGCCCACAGCCTGCAGGGACCTTTGCAATACGGTTTCTTGTCACAACAGGGGACACAACAATGCAAAAACAACCTGAGGCGGGCTGTTTCCCAGCATGGACATTGGCCTGTGCTGCAGCTTGGTGCCTGGATGCAGCTCAGCTCCCCTGCAGACCACGCTGGGTCTGCTGCAAGGTCCCTGCTAAAACTTCTCGTACACCTTTTAGCCGCTTCCCAAATTCTTCCCACATCCAGCATGGGGCAGACCCAACACCAGCCCTCCTTCCCGCAGCGAGGGCGCCGCAGGGCCCCGACGGCATCCCTGGCACCTGCCCTGCGAGCGCAGCAGGATCTGGCCCAGCCTATCCTCTGCAGCCCCTTGGCCCACGGACAGGAGGTGTCTTGTAACAAGATGGGGCCATTTATCGTTCTTGGAGGAGATGCAAGCAACAACCCCGCTGCCAGGCCCCCCCGTCCCTGCCCCACGCTGAGAGCAGCAGGGAGCACTGGTTGTGCCCAGTCCCGTTCCCAAACAGGAGGCGGCCACACGCGTGTCATCTTCAAAATAAAACTTTATTCATTCAGTAACAAGAACATTGAATCTGCACATCAGTGCACAAGTTCACATTTAAAAACAGCTGAGCACATCGGTCATAAAGTCTTTAAGGGAAAAGGGGACGATCCCAGCCACCGAGGAAGATCAAGGAGAGGCAGCAGACAGCAGCGCTGCCCTCCCCAGGTCGCAACTCCACCGCCAACCATCCCCACGGGCTCAGCGCTCCCGCGCGCCGACGGTCTGCGGCCAGACTGCCCAGCCCAGAGCAACCCCTACCAACCAGTGCACGGACATCACGTCTCCAGGAAGGAAAATAAGAAGGCACTGGCACCCGCGTCTGTGCCAACAGCGATGCCTGCGGCGCGGC